GCCAAGAGCTGCTTTTCTTGCTCCTCTCCTCCTCGGAAAGTGGGAAAAACGCGGCGTTAAAGGGTCCCCGAGGCTTTGCGTGTGTCATTTTCAGAGACTGGTTGGGAGATGTTTGTTACAATTGAGAAAAGTTGGGGTTTCTACGTTATTGAGGAAAATAAGTAGTTGCTTCTCTCAGTTCCCTCACAGGCTAAACCAAGTTTGCGCTGTGGACAGCGATTGAATGTCTAACTTGTCTACACAATTCCCACTCAGATGTTTGTAGAATTGAGAACAGTAGTGCTATTGACTATGTTCACGATGTTTTGTAAAACTTGGAGCTATTCAGGAGCCAGTGCTTTCTATCCAGCGCTGACTTGCCCATCCTTCTCCTGCCTCAGCTGTGACAGGAGCAAATGCGAGTAGGGGGGTCAGCTAACCCTGCTGGCTCACCCACTGAGGTGCTGTATGTTATGGGGAAGAGCAAGCAAACCTCGGCAGGGCTGTGTGCAGTGTTGGATGTTACCTGTTCTCTGGCAGGTCTGTTTTCCTTGTTGCTATCGGTTGATGGGCTGTAAAGGGTTTGAACTTTGAACTCCTTCTGTTTTAGCAGGTAGCAATACACTTGAGCAGCCTCCCTCTTGAACTTTCATAAGACCAGTCCAACACAGTATCTTGATTAATGAGGAATTCTTAGAGTTGTAGCTGAATACTGCCTTGCCTGCTGACATCAAAGAGGAGCGCATGCTAATGCGATGGAGGCTTGCATAATGTTTGGTTGTGTCAGAATAATTAAAGGTACTAATCTTAGCTGGTAGAAGAAGAGGGTAGGAATCTGGTTTTGCTTTTTAGCTATCTTCTTAATTGCACTTTTTGCCCTTTCAGATAACAAGCTACTAGAGAAGTCGGACCTTCATGCGGTACTGGCTGATAAGCTTCAAGCAGAAAAATATGACATGCAGAGCAGACATGAGATCAGGTATTTAAAATTCCTTTTCTGTCAGTCAGCTGTCATGTACACTGTAACCTAAACCATTGTTTGATGCATTACATAAACAACTTCTAGGTTACTACAGTAACTTGGAATGAAACAAATTGGGAAATCTGTTGAACTAAAAATAAATTATAACAGACTCTGAATATGTGATAAAGTTACAGTATGTTTACAGTATACAGTGCAGAAAGATCTGACCACGTTTTGGACAAATTAATTTATCACAAACTCAAGGAATGGAGGTGGACCAGAATGAGTGTCTGCTTCTGATCTGTTTGCCTTGTAATGCTTATAATGTTTGCCTAGTGTTAGTTCCTAATGATTATGATCTGACTCTTGAAATCTTCTGATCTTATAAGCATTGCAGGGAGAAACTGATGTCTTAGTTGCTTCCTCTGTTGAAGTTCCTTTTGCTATATAATGCAAAACTGTTTATGCATGTCTAATTAGGATTCAAAACAAATAAATACAGTTACGGCTATTGTGTACTATTACTAGTAAGGAAAGAAGAAGAACTGATTTTTACAGGAATTGCAGGCAAAGCGTCGGCATTTGGCCAGCATGCTGACGCTTTGCCTGCAATTCCTGTAAAAATCAGGAGTGTGACAGTTCTCAAAAGCTTTCTGATGACTGCAGTTGTCTTGAACCATCTTTAGTGTATGAGAATCTGATTCTGGTTCAACACCTACTCTTAAGAGATGAGGCTGGAATAGACAAGTGTGAGAAGGGCACAGTAACAACATCTTCAAAGTAAATACTAAGCTGAACTCTGATACTGTCCTCAGTATGTGACAGTTTTTTGAAACAGAATGAATTCCGTAATCCTAGATAGCTGAGGAAAAATGCTTTTAATTACCTTAAGGCCAAGGAGGAATATCTAGTTGTGGCTATAGAGGTGTGCATGGCCAGAGTTATAGGACATATTGAATATTACCACAGCACTTGGCTTCCTATCTGTTTGGACACAGTTTTTTTGAAATGCGGTGTCTTCTAGTACAGCATTAGTTCAGTGAGGTGTGTGTTTGTTGTTTGGTTTTTTTGAGAAGAACATTAAGTTACTGATACCACTGTGAGACTTTGCAGCTTCTGAATGCATGATCTGTTTCCCATTGGACTGTTACAACAGAGGATGACTGCAGAAACAGATGCTTGTTCTGTTTGTCTGGTATAACAGTGATGAACTTAAAATTACTATTTTTAAAAGCTGTAATTTATAATATAGCTGTGAACTTGCTCAAAGTCTGTGTGTGCAATATGTATATGTGTGTGTATGCTTTTAAAAAGCTGACTTCTGTTCCTGCCTCTGTGCTTTCAAAGGCATGAGTGGTAAATGTTACAATCATAGTTGTTTGGAGGGTGATATGTGTGTTCTGGTGTGTAGAAATTCCAGATTATGTCACGGTACCACTGTGTTGTAAAACACAATTGAAGAACACCCCAAAGTCTTTACACGGTAAGGCTAGAACGTAATTGGGACTATGGAGAAGTGACTTATGACACCTGGAACTCTAAACCCAAAGGCCTGGGAATATACCCTTGGTTCTTTGGCTTTTGGTTCTGTGCCCTGTATTATGCTGTCTCCAGATGTGTAGCATCTTCAAGGTCCACTAGCTCCCTCCAAAACAAATTTGAGGTGGTAAAATGTGTGTAATTCTTCCAGAATTTGGAGAGTGTACTTCTAAGACGCAACTGTCTTCATGCAAATTTAAGCAAAGGCTAGTTATCTTTCATTTGCGTTTGAATTCTGTTTTAGAAACGTAGAAAAAAGGTGAATTGAGTCCTCAGTAAATTTAATTTGCCAATACTATGTAATGGCATTTTGGTTGTTGAGAAATGTGTTGTGGGGGAGCTAGCTGTGGTCTAGTTTGTTATGAATGAGCTGTATCTCTGATGTATAGAAAATCCAAGGGAGTTTGTGCTGAGACTAACTAGTCAAAGGCACAGGAGCGATTGGATTCTAGTTTGTGACATCTTTTCTTCCTCTGTCTCAAACTCCAGTCCAGGACATGATGGCACATGGAATGATGCTCAGTTGCAGGAACTGGCACAGCTGAAGATAAAGCATCAAGAGGAGCTGACAGAGCTGCATAAGAAACGTGGCGAGGTTAGAAAGTCCTCTTGTGTTCTGTATGGTCCATACGTGCCCCTTTGAACGTGACCTTAACTTTACCAAGCTTATTCATCATAATTTTTTCCTCATTTCACGTACAGCCTTTTTAAGCTCCCCATGTTGATGATTAAAATAAACCAAAGATGGCTGTCTTCCTGACAGCCAGGAGATAAGAGCTTACATTGTCAGCAGAGCATGATTTTTAAGTGCTTGCTTTTGTGTTTCATGAATTGGTTTTTAACTCTATTAGAGGAGGAAGAAACTGATCCGGCTTACAGAGCTGCGTGTGACCACTAGCTCTACATTGACAAGACTTTGAATGAGTGAGAGAATAGGTGGCTGTGTGTGGTTTCGTTTGTCTCGCTTTGCAGGACCACTGTTATAAAAGAGTGGACAAAATAAACACAAGCAAAGGTGGAAAGTGCCATGGTGTCAGACTGAAAAGGGAGTACTGGTTCTGCCGTGAAGATGCAGTAGGGAGCCCAAGAGTCCTGTAAGCTATGAGACTTGGGCCTGGAGGAGAGCTAGAGGAGAGGAAAAGCTATCTTTTTTTTTTTTTTGACAGGAAGATGTGGAGGCTTCATCAGCAGAATTGGGTTTTTAAAAACCACAGCAGTGGATTGAATGAGTCCAGGAGCTAGTACCTGAATGGTACTGCAGACTTTTATAGGGAGAAGGTGGGAGTGACCTGGAAAATGTTATTGTGCTCCTTTGATCAAACCTCACTGTAGTTGTGGAGAAGCTCCAGTGTCAGTAATTCTGAGCTTTTCAAAGAGGAGACAGCTTTCTACAGGAGGTGTGTACTGACTAGTCAAAGCAGCGAAAATTCCATCTTTCCCCCCAGCCTGGTATCCTAAACCACCTACCCAGGCAAGCACTCTTCTTGAAACTCAGTCTTCCTTTTCCCTGGGCAGCCAAGGCTCTGCACGCTGTGGGTCTTGCTGTTGCTCACTGACTGGGTAGCTGTGAGCTGGCAGCAGCAGCTTATTGGTGTTGGCCTCTGCCCCTTTATTTTCTGTGCACTGCAGAGACTCCACCAGCAACTAACTTTGTGGGAAAACTCTTCATGAAACCTGTGTTTACAATATGTGAGCTACATGTCTCCTGTAATGGCTGTCCTGGCTGTAACAGGAAGATTTGTTGCTCGGTTGTTAGTACTCATGTGTTGGTTTACTTTACTTGGCAATTTTTAGTTTATGTATTGATTTTTCCACGACTTTAAAATTTCTTCCTAATATGCATTCTGATTGATGTGACTTTAGTAAAGAAACTTTTTGAGGGAAGGGAGTGAGATATCAAAGGACAATAACTTTTTGATAATTCACATTTGAAAGTAGATTGCCTGATTTAATGACCATGTGATAGGGGAAGTAAATAGATTTGTATAGAAAGCTGTGAAAGATGACCTGAAAGGTATGCTTCCTGCTTGTGATGTTAGATTGGTCTGTACTCTTGCTGGTTGCTGCCCAGTGTTTGTTATCCAGCTGGCATCACTGCATCTTGTAATGTAACTTTCTCCTCTCCCTAGCTGGCCCAGTCTGTAATTGATCTGAATAACCAAATGCAGCAGAAGGACAAAGAGATGCAGATGAATGAAGCAAAGTGAGTAGGAACTGTTTCATCTGTGTGGTTGGTATGAGACCCAGACTTCTGGTTGAGTTATTTATTAGTGTTATAATATTCTCTAGGAGCCCTAGCCATGGGCTAAAAAATTCCTTTGTTAGGCATTGTACAAATAGCATGATGGTGGATGGTATAGGTCCCAAAGGAGATCCTCATTGTTTTGTTTATTTTGTTGCTGTTCCAGGATTGCAGAGTATTTGCAAAAGATCTCTGAACTGGAAACGGAGTGCCAGGAATTGCGTAGCAAACTGCAAGATCTTGAGCGAGCTAATCAGACGCTAAAAGATGAATATGATGCTCTCCAGATCACCTTCAATGCCTTGGAGGAGAAACTGAGGAAAACTACTGAAGACAACCAGGAGCTGGTCTCGCGTTGGATGGCAGAGAAAGCACAAGAAGCCAATCGTTTAAATGCAGAAAATGAAAAGGATTCAAGGTGAGATTGATGACTTCTATTTGACAAACCACTTCCCAATATATTTTTGAATACTGTGAGTGCATAGGATAAAACCGGATTTAGTTTTGATCTCTATTCTTGCACAACACAATGAGAGTCCAGAACTTTGTGTTCCTTCTTTTGGCCAACACAGATGCTTTGTGAAAACATTCCTGTCTCTTAAATGAATAAAACATTTTGTTTTTTTTGTTGAGCAACATTTAACTACTGCCTAAAGATCATAAATCAGACAAACTTTTTTCTGGTATTGGATTTGGACTTTTCCTGTTCATATTGCATCTTGATACTACTCCTAGTTATCTCCTTTTTTTGACTTAACCAATTTAAGTGTATTTTGCATTCTGATAAAAGGAGAAGCTGCCATGAGACTGAACTATGTATAACTTGTAAAAATAAGTTTGTACTTCTTTTTCCTTGCAAAATAATAATTTTTATTATTCTTCTGAATTGCTTCAGGTTACTTGCCAACTAACAATACTTGGGAGGCTAAGAGCTATAAGACAAGTCTCATAGTACTTGGCAGTTTTGTATTATCTTTACTAACATAATCATTATTTTTGCAAGTTCTTGCACTCCAAGCAAAACCTCATTCATATGGATCATAAAGGGCTGTAGGTACACTTTGCTTTATTGCCTCACTCAATTGATCTTGTCCTTCACTATTCACAATAAGAACACTGTCTCTCCTGCACTGAGTATGAAAAGTGAGATAAAATTAGGGCAGTGGTCTGGGTGTGGCTGGTTTTTTTTAAATAGTCTTGTTTTACTTTTAGGAGAAGACAAGCCAGGCTGCAGAAGGAGCTAGCAGAAGCTGCCAAAGAACCCCTGCCTGTTGAACCGTAAGCAGTCTTGATTTACAGAGTCTCCTTCATCACTTCATGCTTAGTTTTATGCAGATGCATGATAAATGGTATCTTTGTTATTTCTAAATTTGGCAATGAAGAGGAGTGTTTAAACTTTGGTGTAAAGTCAGAAATGTACAGTAACTCTCCCTACTTGAACTTCCAGAAGAAGGAGCTCTGTTATGACTAAAAATAGATGCTTGGACTGAAAGTCTTAGGAATGGTTCATATGGTGAATATATGTTCTTATTTCAGCATAAAAACATTTGTTATGTGGTGCCTTTAGTCTTTAAAATAGTTCTTTAATTGTGGAGCAGTAAACTTCTGAGATGCCTACATTTTTAAGTGTTAGACTACAAATAGGATCAAGGATTTCCTGCAGGAGCAGGTACTGAGTGCGTTAAGGTGGGTGAAAGTATATTGATCACTTCCATACTGGGAGAGATTTATTCTGTAGGAAAAAAATATAGATGTGGAGTTACTTTTCCTGGCAAGCCAGAGAGAAATATCTCTAGTCTCTTGTTTTTTTCAGCAGCAGCACATGGATATTTGCTGCTATGTTTACTCCTGGGTGGTATTTAATCAGCTGACTGAAGTGGGTAGTTGATGGTATGGGTGCTTTGCACCAGGTTGATAAGGTTATTGGCACTTGTGTTAGCCAAATCCAGCAAAACTACACCTGCTGCATTGTTACTGGAAACAGCCAAGACAGTCCTCAGAGCATAGTGCCAGAGCAGTGTACAGGCTTTTTCTTGATATCTGATATCTTTGTATTAGCATCATGTAATCATCTCTGTGCTGCGTGTCCTTGCACATGATAGGAGCAATGTATCTGCTCTGGAAGAGGGTCCATGCAAAAGTCTGGGGTAGGTAGGAAGAGCATGTGTAAGGGGAGTATGAGAGAGCTTGTAACATTTCAAAGGAAAATTGAAACTGCAGTTAACAATACAACTAGTTAGCACAATTTGCTTTGCTTTTTTTAAATAAATGTTTAATGCTTCCATTCTCTTAGCTTATTGAGGTGTGACTCTCCATGACAAAGGTTACTGCTGACCTCTGTGTCACAGGCCAGTGGACAGCCCCAAACCAGAGGACAGTCTTCCCAGCTCATAAGAATAGTGATATCCCTTTTGTCCATGTTGTTTGATGTAAACACACATGGAATATCTTAGAATATTAAACTGTTCAATAAATAATGTTGCACCAAGAGGGGAAACACACATGTAATGTCTGTGACCTCTTTCCCGTTAAGCTTCTTCCTCTCCCGTTACCCAAGGTGAGACCTTTCTATCTTAAAACTGAGCTCAGAGGTAGCTGTAGCACAACAGCTTGAATATTTTACTTCCTGTTGTAGTGGGGTTGATGGTTTCAGTGTTTCATAAATAATTTTCATAAATGATATGAGACATTGAGAAGTTAAAAAGAAGCCTATTTAAAAAACAAATCTAGATGCTTCTGTAAATTACTCAAACTCTGCTTCACAGATGTTTTTGATTTCTTCTTTCATAATTTAGAGGGTTTGTATTGTATAAATGTGCTGCTTACTGAAGGGGGAAGTTGTAGCATTTCAAGGAGTATGCCCTGGTGTTTATAGTCACTTCAAAAATAAATTAAGCTAACATGGAAAGTTTTTTTTTTTTCTGCTACGTACAATTTGAATAGCTCAAACTTCAGATTTTAAAAAAGAAGTATCAGTGGAACTTGATAGTGTTTTATTGAAATATCAACCTGATATTTTCAATCAGAGTATATATCTTCCATAGCCTTTTCATATATACTGTCTTCCAAAATCTTAGAACTTAAAGTGCAGCTGTATTCTGAAATGAGAGATTAAAAATGGTCCCATCCTCTTCAATTCTTTGGCAGCTGAGTGTTATCTGATGGCAGGAATTGGTTTATTCTTACTTAAATGCTGAATTTAAACTTCCTGTTCAGTCAAATGACATCAGGTTGATAGTGTGTTTAAAAATAGTTTGTCCTGCAAAATCAGCAGTGGAGGAAAAATCATCATTGAAGGAAAAAATACTAGACTGTCAGAGCCCATGATGACTAATGAGGAAGAACCTTTTAGCATTAGTTGAGTACTTCAGCTGGATTAATTTATGGTATATGTATTGGAACCTCATACTTCTGTTCAGTTTTACACCAACACTTTAATGAAGTAGACCAAAACATCCCTCATACTTAATGGAGCAGCACCTGAAGTACAATAGTATAGAAAGTATCCATATGTCTTTGGTGTGGATGAAGAAGGAAAATTCCAACTCTTGTGCTTTTTTTTTTAATACTTCCTTGTTTTGGAACAGCAAAAAAGGTGCTGTGAAAATAGGATATCACCTATATTTGGGGTTGCAAAAACTCATGGTTTTGCTGTTCTGTAACTGTTCCAGCAAATATAATTCACTCTGTAGCAAAGTCTTGCTCAGATGTGATAGGTCCTTATAATGGTGTATGTAGTGCTGCAAGCTGAAATATAATGCCTGTAGTAAAGGGAATCTGGAAAGGATGCCTGTCAACATAAATACAGGGAGCCAGGAATCCCAGACCTGTTGTCGGTGAAGAGTGTAATTGGCAGCTGGAAAGAAAAAACTGAAATTTAGGTGCTGCATGTACTTGTTCTCAGACATTGTATGTTGAATGTAGTATCTCTGGCAGTGACAGCTAGATCTGTGTTTGTGTTGTCTGGATCTACCTCCATGTTACTACAGCTAAGTCAACCTAGATGCAGGTTGAAGCAGACAATGACAGACCCTTGGAACAGTGTTGTCCATTCAGTTCATATACATCAGTGGGTGGTTTCCATAGGAAGCTCTGGCTGATTGAAAATGAGGTGTTCTCTCTTACTTCAGCAGGGATGATGATATTGAAGTACTTGCAGATGAAACCTCTGACACAGCTGAGGAGACATCTCCAGTGCGAACTGTCAGCCGAACTTCCAGGTTTGTAGACCGAGATTTTTTTGTATCGTGTCGGGAATGTTACTTACAGTTTTTACTTGCCTTTAGCTGGAACACAGTTTAGTACTTCCACCAGAGCAGTATGAAACTCATGTGCTGTGTTCTCCATTACCATGCTCTAGAAATGCTCTGTTTTTCCTATGTTATAAATAAATTAAACTGGTGTCTGAAAAATCTGTGTCTAATCTTAAAAACAAAGGTTTAAAAGCAAAATAGACAATAAAATGGGTATTGCAGTGCCTGTTGTGTTGTATCTTACTATACAAGAGATCAATGTGACTTCACAAATAGCTGTGTGTTTTGATTTAGCTGCAATGCTGAGAATACCTTCACCTAGATTAAATGCAGCTTTTTCTTCCTCCAAAATGGCAGTGAGTGGAAAGTAAGAAGTAGTTACATGAGAACATGGATTAGTTTGGGTGAAACTTCAGACTTGGCAGACTGTTATATCTAAACCCAGTAATTCACAGGGTGGAGGTTGAGGGAAATTGAAGAAACTTCACTCACAAATTAAGTTCTGAGTTGTAGTTACTGGTGACTTTTGAACTGATGTCTGCCTTTGGTGTTTTCTGTCTTCGGACTGGGTCTGCAGGGGAGGGAGTCTTTCTGGAGACTTGTTGCTATGAAATGTGTTTGTATTGATCTTTATGTGGAGAAGCTATTCACAAGGTTTAAACCTGTCCTCCCCTCCTTCAGTAAGCGACTCTCCCAGCCAGCTGGAGGCCTTCTGGACTCTATCACTAATATCTTTGGGTAGGTTAGAACACTTTCACCTCTTTGTTTTGTATATTGGTTTCAATGTATACAAAAATCTTGGTGATGCAGGGAATACAAACAAATAATTTCAGCCTTTCTTCTAGCTTCTGCTTTTTTTTTCTTTTTTTGTTCTCCTCAACTTCCTGTTTCTTCCATCTTGCCGTGTGCTGACCTCTGACCTTTCCCTCCAGTCTGTCTGAGTCTCCCCTTTTGGGACATCAATCTTCTGATGCTGCCAGGTGAAAACATTATCCGCTCTTAGTCCAGCATGTGAATGTATTCCATTGAAGTAACACGGAACCCAGCTGCATTATCCTGATTAGATTTCAAATGTTGATAACACTGGCTAGAAACTCTCTACAGCTAGAGAGGCAATGAACTCCTCTTTGTGGAGAGAATACATGGGGTTTGCTCTTACTTTCCACTGCACTTTGCTCCTTTAATAGGGTTGTTTAAAATAAGTCGTTGGGTTCTGTGCTTAGTATTCAGTGGAGCTAGGCCTTCTAAATCAAGCTCTGCATTAGGTGGACAGTCTTTGCTTGACTGGTGCAGCCTGAGCTTTTGAATGGAGCGTTTTGCTGCTTGGGATGTAGTGTTGCAATGGTGTTGAGTTTCCCTAGACATAATGATGGAGTTGCAGTCTCTCCAGCTGAACTCAGCTGCAGTTATTCCCATGTTTCTCTTTCCTATTAAGAAAAATGACTGCTCCAAAATGAGGTCAGTAATCAGTTCAGGTAACTTATCTGGTGTACTATGAAATATCTAAAGCCACAAGTGGACGTAGTGTTATATGACAAATGTAGTTTTTGAAAGATGGGATAAAAGAAACTTTAAAAACTCCTTCCCCCATTTTTTTTAATCACTGTACAGTGTAGCTGAGTAACAGGTACAGATCTGGATGAACTCAAAGAAACATCATTCACTCCTCGTTTTAAAATATTTCTACTTTTCTTCATCTCAGGAGGCGTTCTTTGTCCTCGTTCCCTGCTCCCCAGGACAATGTAGAGCCACATCCAGGTGCCAGTAAAGAAGTGAGAGTGCCCACTACTGCCATATGCGTCTTTGTAAGTATAGAAGGAATTCTCAAATTTTACCATTCCTTTTACTGTCTTTGGAGGAAGTGAATCCTGCCTGTGTGGGAACTGGTTGCCTGAAACTCTTTCTATTAACATTGCCAAACAAGAAGGAATTCTTGATTTGGTAGCATAGTTCATCCCATTAAATTCCTAGCCCAAATGCTTCTTGGAGCCAGTGTGCTTGATGTCTGTCTTACTGAGGTCAATGATGACTAGTAAAAGGTCTGAGGGCACAGGGGAGTTACACGCCATTACCCTCTTGGCTCCCAGCAGTCCCTGTTCTGTCATGCCATAGTAGAGCTATGATTGAGGAAGAGATTGCTGACAGTTTGGGATTAATTCAGTTCCAGTTCTCCACAGTGAAGGGAGTTGTGGCACTGAATGTCATCCAACAGAACTGGTTAAGAGGAGCTTGTGGTAGTGGGGTGTCTTCATTTGTTGTGTGTGATCTAAAGTTTTCAAGCTGAGACCTCCTTTATGTGTTGTTTTGGCCTCACAAGGCCAAACTTAAATTTCTGTGAAGGGCATTACCTTCTGAATGAAAGATACTGTGGCAAATTGTCTTGTAACGCAGCTACTTGTTTCAACATTCCTCTTGAGCTTTCTCAGGCACTCCAATGCTGGACGTGGATATTTCATGGATATGAAATTACTTCTTTCATCCAGAGTGACAAGAGTGTCTCACTGCAGCATGGAGGCTTGTGTATTCCTAGCCTGCCCTGCTACCATCTTCTCTAGTGGAGGTCATGGGGTGGAGGGAATAGCAATGTTACCTTAAGTGAGAATAGGGTCATATCTTAAGTGACAGCTTGAAGCTGGCTTGAATAGGGAGCATCAGAGGAGGTGTTCATAGCTGCAGTATGTGCTGCAACCTCTCTCCTCCTCTGGTTATATACAGCAAACACAGTTGATCAACAGATATAATCCTGGCTAATTTCGTCATAAAAAGTATTGCAAAGCTATGTATGTGAGGTTTTCAAGAACCATGTGAGAAGTTACGTTGTTTTCACCTTTCTCTTGATCTTTTGTAATATTATCTGAACTTCCAAGAGCAGCACAGCCTGTCTTCCCAATATGGAGGTACAAACCACAGCAGCCTGTGCTGACCCCTAGTCTTGGCAATGTGGAGAATGCTGCCCCACTCCAATTCCCCATCTTGCAGTAGGAGTAGGGACAGCTGCAGTAGTAAGCCTGTCAGACTGTGGCAGTATGGAGTCAATGTGTGGTTAGCACTGCAATATTAGAAGGAAGAAGTCCCGACTCATTTCATGGGAATCCATATGTTCCTTCTGGAGATGATCTGTGTTGTTTTAACTCCTGTGTTTGAGCCCAGGTGGAGTGTGAGGACATGTCTAGGTCCAGCAGAGCATTCCGTGGCACTTTGGGACATGGTTTAGTCTAGTCTACCCTTAATTGGTTTAGTGTGGACTTGGTAATGTTAGGTTAATGGTTGGACTGGATGATCTTAAAGGTCTTTTCCAACCTAAATGATTCTATGATTCCAGGAGTGAATACAAGGACTCCGTGCCAGAGGTTTGGCAGCTACAGGGAGCAGGCAGGGCTCACTTCTGGAGAGATGAGTAGAACAGGCTTGGGAAGGTGGAGAAGGTAGTCACTTCGGCCATCATTCTCAGACGCAGTTTCTAGGCAAGACCTTTGACCAGTTTTGTTCTGAATGACTCTTCTGCACTTGTAGAAAGATCAAATTTGAAGTGTGATGACCCCTAAATAGGAGCTGGCAGACCAAGTTCAAGCAACAATTCCAGAAAAATACAAGTTTCCAGAAAAACTGATTTTGAAAGAGCAGTTACTGGAAATACTTGAAAAGGAATGCAGCAAATGAATTAAGAATGTGGTACTAGTACTGTGTGGGTAAGTAGTATAAAGCTGTGAAATTAACAGGTGAAAAAAGGAAGGAATCTTAAAATTCTCATAGGTTTTAAAATATTAAGAATTGCTGTTAAGTGGCCAACTCAAGCTTCAAAACATTAAGCTGTGAGAAAGCAGGGGTGCAGGGGTGTCACTGCAGCTGCAGATAGGAACCACAGCTTAAGCCCAAGTTCTTTGTGAGAGAAGGTGCTGTCACAACTGTGCTGGTACTGCTTGATCACCAATATAAAGTAGCATTATCACCAATACACTAAGTGAATGCAGTTAATCTGTTATGCTGTTTTCTAGCAGACTTTCCTAACTCAAGCCTGACTTGTGTTCTGTGGTTGTATGAACTGATTGGATCATGTTCCATGGCTGGCTCTAGTTGGAGAAATGAAAAGTTAGTTTTCTGCTACAGCATATCACCTATTACTGTTTTCTCTCCTGTCCTTTCCTTAATTTTTTTCTGGTGTAACTTAAAAGCCTTACCATATAAAGCCTAAACCTACAAAGCGTTGTAAGGCTTCTGGCAGTTTATCAGTGTTGAGTTCTTGCTAGTGGTGTTCTTTACATGCTTTTGTTTTGTTTCTTTAGATAAGGATCAGCCTTTTTGCTCTGTTTGTACACCATCAACCATAGTAGAGTTTCCGTCTGTGGCTTTGTTTCCTATATACTGCTGAAAGATCTACAGCTGTGGTTCTGTATAACCTTTAAGTTCTATAGCTTTCTAATCTGTGGTTTTCTTGGGTCTATGCTAATTCTGTTTTGGGTGGCTGTTCTGTTCTTCCCACTCCTCAGGATGCACATGATGGGGAGGTGAATGCGGTGCAGTTCAGTCCTGGCTCCCGGTTACTAGCAACAGGAGGCATGGACCGGAGGGTTAAGCTTTGGGAAGTCTTGGGAGGTAAACTTTTTTGCTTTGGGGTATGGTGGGATGCTAAACAAACTTATATTATAGTTCACTTTGTGTCAGCTTCTGTTCTAACCCATTGCTTAAGTTTTTATTCGTCTTTCTCTGTGCAGATAGGTGTGAGCCCAAGGGTTCCCTCTCTGGTAGTAATGCTGGGATTACAAGCATAGAATTTGATAGTGCTGTGAGTATCTGTGCAATATCCACTGTTTGTGATTGGGAATAAATCAATTGAATTATATTGTCCTCTGCTATCAATTTCCATTCTAACACTTTGAAAAGCTACCTAAGAAATGAGTTAAAATACTTATGAGAGTAACTACAAATAGTTAAAAATTGTAGAAAAGATCTTTATTTGATATGCTGCAGTCTGTAATCATCATCTTTGCTTTACAATTCAGAAGATGATATGCAGCTCAGACATTGGCTGTTATGGACTATTATGATAAAATTACAATAAAATACACTAGCCTTTGTCTAAAGTAAGAAATTAGTCTTCAGCTTCCTACTAACGCTGGCATAACAGTACAAAAGAAGCAAATACACTGAGACTTTATTTCTGTGAAGTTTGTTTCCATAAGTGCTCTGCTGAGGTCTGTGATGAATAGTAAAAGGGCTGATTATCCTAAGACTTGCACTTCCATGACCTTTTCTCCCAGCAGTTTCTCACCAGTCATGGCACAGTAATGGTGTGGCTGGCAGAGTGTTTGCTGACAGCTTGTGATGTGTTCAGTTCATGTTAACCTGAAGTATTGGAGACATGACTGGTATCAGCATCCAACAGTCTTACTTGAAGGAGTTTGGGGTCTTGGATTGTTATAACTGGACATGTGATATGACTTTTCTGCTGAGGCCTCTCCCATAATACAATGCTTTACTGCATAGACAGTAGACGAAAGCTGACATCATTTGTTCCATTTGGTGATTCTGTGTGCTAAACTTTATTGATACGTACCCAAAAGGATCCTTCCTTTGAACACTGACTAGCTCATTAGAGATTTGCTGGCACTGTTAATCTGCAGAATAAACTAGTTCTGATTTTCACAAGCTGCTTGAACACATTTGAGGTGAGAACTGCCTGAGGTGAGATGCTAATGGGCTTTAAGGATTCAGGAAAGTCTTTTGAGATGGACAGGGGTGCAAGCATGAATCTTGTGGTGTCCATTCTCTATCATGGATGACTTGGAAGAGCCCTAAGCCTAAAGCCATGAACAAGTCAATTTATCTCTCCTTGGACAGATTTAGTTTTTGGAATCTTAGTTTAAAACGTTAGAATTGTAATGAAAATTGCAAGAATTGGGCTAATGCCACTCTGAGGCCTATGTAGGCAGTGGGGGTAGATGATGTAGGGCTTTTTCCCTGTGAAAAATCAAAAAGGAAAAAAACCCACAATAGATAAGGGTAAACTAGAACCCATTTCCTCACTGCAGCAGAAGGGAAAGGAGAATGTCCTTTCTGGTCTGGTTATTGTTACTCATTTTATCTGTAGTCAGGATTCTACAAATCACTGTCACATTTTGAGAACTAAAAGCCATAACCTTTTTGAAGGTTGTAACACTAGCTTTCCTTACTGGTATATGCTACTGTGGTTTTAGTTTTGTTCCTTTTTTCCCTTGACAATATAGCACTAACATGGTTTTAACAATTTATTGGAAATACTTTTGAGTTTAATTTGCATATTGACTTACAGAAGTAGTTTTAAATTAATCTTGTGTTCACAGGGTTCTTACCTCTTAGCAGCTTCAAATGACTTTGCCAGCAGAATCTGGACAGTTGATGACAATCGATTACGGGTGAGTCTCTTGAAGGCAAAGCAGTGCTCAGGCTGTTTGTCTTGTATTTCCAGTTTTGTCCAAAGGGGACATGGCAGTTTTGGAAGTTGGGCGTTTACAGACACTTTCAATAATTCTTTTTGTTAATGGGATCTTTATTTCTTTTAAGGGTCTTCACAGCAAGACCAAAAATACAGTATTGGTCTCTGCACAGCCTTGCAGGAAACTTGTTACTGCATATTTTCACAATATAGCCCCCTGCTAGCAAAACCTTATCACATAAACCCAATACACTTTTGCATCACCCTCTGTAGAAATTTAAATGCTTCTTATGGTTTATGGAGAACCACTTCAATGTTTTAGCCTCAAATCCAAGGAGAGGACTGCTGAAGAAGTGTTTGCAGAAGACAGAGGGATTTTTTTTGTTTTAGGTCAGGAGCAGCATTCTTGAAAAGGAGTCCTTTGCCTAGCTGTTAAAGGCAGCAAAGCCTAGAACTGCTTGACTTTATTCTCAATGTCTTTTGAAAGATTCCTCCTCTCCTCCCAGCTCCTTTGTACTCATGTTCTTCTCCAGCACTTAGCTCTAGTTTAAAGAAGGATTCACCTTTGACCAAAAGAAGAGTTTCTTTTCAGTTTTCTAAGAGTTTTGTCATTCCTATGTACACTTTTCCTCAACTTTTTATTTTTAGGAAGATGCTACTTTGTCCTGAATCTTCTGACATTTCACATGTCAGTTATAACGTACAGTTGCATTGTAATTCATTGGGTAGTTCTCAGTGTGGAGATGTCAGATCTCATTTAGGCAAGCGAAGAATATCAGTTCTTTTGCAACTTCTGTTTGGCTGCAAAACCTACTATTGGATGTGAATTATAGTGAATAAAAGTTTAGCAGACCATAGATTACTCACTATAAAAAGTTAGTTATCCCTGCAAACATCCTGGGTTCACAGTATCTTCCTGTCATTTTTTGGTGTCCTTGGTGACTACCAGCTTTTGGTGAGTGCATTCACTGTTCGCTGAGATAAAATAGTGCATTCTTTGTTTCGAGTGTGTGTGGTATGGATTTGTCATGGCTTGCACATGAACAGGAGGCAGTGAAGCTGAAATAATGGTAAATTTTGCCACAAACTGCCTACTTAAATGCAAATATCTGTACGTACTGACTGTGCAGCAAGAGCAGAAGAGAAATGTAGAGTGAAAATTTAGATCCTTACTTTATGGCGTTTGTGTCCCTTAAGACAGTGAGCTTTATGGAGTGACTCATTATTTCAGAGTTTGTGCTGTGTATCAGGTTCGCTTTTTACCCAAACTTTGCTCCCATTCCTTTCCATTCTTAAGAGTTTTTCTTTTGTATTTCCCAAGCCTAGACTGCTTTGTGTAATTTGATAGTCCTTTTGAGTATTTTTAAAAAAATCTAACTATATACCAAAGACTTCTCTCTTGTTTTGCACAATTCTTACTTCAGTCAGTCATTATCTGGTTTGTGATTTAGTATGTAAATATTCAGCAGTTTGAAGTGAATGTGGTTCATGTTCTTCTCAGCCCCAAAGAGCCTCCCCCTGCAGTTACCGAAACTGCTGCAGGGAGTTTTTCTGAAATCTCTGGTTGTCTCAGCTTTCAGGCTTGAAGATGTAACAGCAGTCAAGACTAGATACCCTGTTGTATCCTTGAGAGATGCTCATTATAAAAAACCTGAAGGCACAATTTCCATTTTCAGCATGCTTTAACCCTTCTCCTCATTGCTCCTGCAAGGCTGTGTTACAGTTGCCATCTGTCCATGAAACGTAGGTGTATAGAGTGTTGAGGAAGAGAGCTTGCAGGTTCCCCAAGTAGCTAGAGAAACTGCAGCCAAAGGTGACCTGTCTCCCAGCTTCAGGCTGAACTCTGTGGTACTTAACACTCCTACTCAGTGTTAATCTCTGTATTTAACTACAATAGATTTTTTTTCCCCTCCAAGCAATGCAGTAGACATGCAAATTATGAATTAAGATTGTCTTTGAGTTGTTAAATAGCAGAACTAGTAAGCTACGAGGAAAGGGAACAAGTGGAACTGTACAATTTTACCATGTAAACCTGTCATCCTCAGCACACCCTGACAGGTCACAGCGGTAAAGTTCTGTCAGCCAAGTTCTTGCTGGACAATGCACGCATTGTTTCGGGAAGTCACGACCGGACCCTCAAGCTCTGGGACCTCCGCAGCAAAGTTTGTAAGGAAACCTGTCTTTCATCCATGTTCTGTACTTCTGCTGAATGTAAATGGAAGTCTGACATCAGCAAGATTATTTCATCTTCTTGCTAGTCTAAAAAAGCAAAAACTAGCAGCCATGCCATCTTCTGTTGTTATTCAAGTAATCAGATTCTTTTTGCCTGTTACCTGGAATAAGAAATCATGTGTATGCAGGAAGCACTGTTAAAGCTACTACATTAACAGCAGCTGTGTTCTGTGAGTGTTCTTTGTTTACCAGTCTGGGGGTGGGTGTTTTAGTCTTCCACTAAAACTCTGAGCTAGGTCAGAGTTCTTAACCCTGAGGTGGATCGAAATGTCTCTTGGAAATGTACCAAAAATTTCAACATCTCAAATGAAGGAAATGCTAGGATCCAGATTTTTCTTTGGGAGAAACACCTTATTTCCTTGTTTTTTCTCCTATTGATGGCTCTTAAACCTGTTTGGACTGAAAGAGAAATTGAGATTCAAGGTTACCTTGATACCTGGACTGCAAAAATAGGTCAAGGAGACAGCTTCATGTTGTTTAACAGTAGCAAATTATAGCTGTCTAAATATGAAGTGGAAGTAAAGCAGCTGTCATGGGAGCATTTAAAGGGATATTAGCAACAGCAAAGGAGATTGAGAAGGACAGAGAAGTCATTGAAGTCTTAAGTCAGGATTATTCTGAGAGGGAGTTTGTGTGCCCTGTGGTTCTCCTTGGACGCTGCTCTGTGTGGCCACTGTGTGTGTGTGATATAGTGATTATTTTTCATCTCTGTTTTTGTCAGTTTGTACAGTATAAATTTCAGTGTGTCACCATTGGTTTATCCTTTTTAGGTATAAAAACAGTGTTTGCAGGATCTAGTTGCAATGACATCGTATGTACTGAGCAATGTGTAATGAGTGGACATTTTGATAAGAAAATTCGTTTCTGGGACATCAGGTAAAACTATTGTAAGAAAGCTTATAGTGTAGGAATGGTTATGGGATTGCTGTCCAAGTATAATCTGAACTAGGGAACTCTTCTTCCTGAGCTTGGAAGCTAATGAGACTGTTATAAGAGTTGCAGAAGGCCATTGAATGAGACTTTTGTAACTACTTTAATACTACTTGGTGTTTTGTTTGGGATTTGGGGG